TCCGAGGGAAAGTTAACAGTTAAGAACAATAATCTGTCATCAAGAAACAATAGTTGGATAAAAAAAATTGAGTTTTCTCTGATTCACACTTCAGTCTTGATGACAGTTTCATGTCTGTGTAAATTTCCTTGGCAAGAATATGGAAATGGCTTGTCACCACTTTTTCCATAATGGTTTTCAACTTCCCAATATTGCTTGATATACCATGATGGTCTCCTGTTTAAGTACTAATCACGTCTTCTTTTGAAGCATAAACAAAGCACAAACAAAACATCCTTGTCTGAATTATGTGTGCAAACATGTCATCCACCACCCACCCACCCACCCACCCACCTACCTACCTACCTACCTACCTATCATCTATCTATCTATCTATCTATCTATCTATCTATCTATCTATCTATCTATCTATCTATCTATCTATCTATCTATCTATCTATCTATCTATCTATATCTTGACAAACTGACTAGTCAATGGAATCCAGTTACATGTGTTTTTGGATGGAACCAAAATGTCATTGAGAAACTGAAATCAGAATTTAGGATTACAAAGATTAGTGGGACTGTTAATTATGATTAATGTAAATTATGTTGGTTTCAGGATGCCTAACTCTAGATTCTATGTATTATCTATAAGTACATTAGAAATGATAAGATAGATTCAGAATTGCACAGACTGTAGGACAACTGATTTTGCTAATTTACCATTCATTCCCATACATTTCTTGAAACCTTTTCCAGGTTCTTAGTGATAAGGCAACATAGAAAAAATTTGTTGGCTATTTAAGATTAAATTTTAAATATTTTGTTCTGCAGCAGTTTTATTTAAATAAGTATACATTTCCTACCTTACATTTTTCACTTAGTAAGAGGATGTTGGATTTTACTCCTTTTACTATTTACTTCAAGTGAGTTCCCTCTACAATTGTTTGTACATTCAATCATAACATCATCCAACTTCCATTCTTCTTTTTCACCTTCTAGACCAAGCTTTTTGTTTATGGGACAATAATTGTTAGATAAATTTACTTGCAAAAAGATAGTCAAATGAAATTACCTAGGCAGAATCAACCCATGCTTTTATTTCCATTGCATATAAAAATTTCATATGAAGGTATCTGACATACAGTACTATTCCATAGGCTGTAAGAGAGGCTAAGAAACCATTGAATTATTTGCAATGTTCGCATACTCTGTCACTCTAAAGACATACCCAAAGGAAACAAAACCAACTGAAAACAACTAAAATATTGTTCAGGAATTCTGTTGTAATAGTGTCCCTTTTATATTGTGAAAAACAAAAGCAATCGTATTCCTTTGGGCCAGGGCTGCTAAAATCTACAGTTTGTGTCAAGGAGGCGGCTCTGTTTTTCTTGAAAAAGAATTTCTCCTTTCACCAAGCAATCACATGCTACATGGGCTGGGTGCGGGTAGAATAGAGATGAGGTATCTGAACTATAAAGCTTCATGTCCAAGAGCAGCAGCGAGACATACTTCAGGCCATTGTTGATTTTGCTTAAAACAAACGGTAGTGTTTCAATGATGTAGGAAAGCTACAGACGTTCCTGATGCATTCATATGATGCACATTCATTCATACAGAAGTAAGCTTTGGCTGCCTGAAAGCCTTATAGGAGGGAAGAGGTCCTGTTTTACAGCGCAATATCAATACAGGTCTAATCTGGAGAGCCACTGTATTAAAGATAATGGGTATAATCTGCCTATATGAATTTGCCTCGGTATGGACAGAAAGTAACTTCCTTGTTTCGGTGGGGCTTGAGAGCAGTAGCTGCCATTGATTAGTGCTCATTCTTTTTGATTAAGTGGTGGCGACATTTTTTTCCCCTTTACTTTCTCTAAGAAAGGTGAAGAATCCCTCAAGAAAAGCTTTGAAGGGGAATGTATATTCCATTAGAGAGAAGGCATTTATCCAAAAAGAGGTCAGAGCCCGGCAGGGGCATCCACATGGTGTCTCAAAAAAGTCAAGATGGCAGTTTCAATTGCACAGTCTCTTGCCATCTTGCCTTTTTTTAAAAACCCTTCTTCCCAAAACCCAGCTTCAGTGGATCTAGATAGTGGAAAAGAGAACATTCCTAGATGGGACACAGTTGAAGTCCCTTTTTAAAAAAGCATAGTAGAGATACACCCAGCCCATGTTTGCTACGACCTTTCTTCCAAATGCAGCAAAACAGAAGAAAATTTTGTTTAAAGTTAAGGCACAGCCCTGGGACCAAAGACCTGCAGCTTTTAATTTATATATCTATGTATTCTATCATTTTTCTCAACTCTTCCATAAACAAGCTCTAAGGTGATATAGAATATATTACACAAGGGAAAAATGTACAAGGGGAGTATGTATACACAATATTAATTCTCTCACCAAGAGTTCCAAATATAGCAACACCATCCTGGCAAGGATGATGTTATAATAAGAACTTATAATTTACAATTAACATTACACTATATACATTACAATAAATACATAGCTGTAAACAGAGACAAACAAGACTTATTACAAGTAAGGTCATTTGGTGAGAAAAAAATATGCATGGCACAAATAAAAAATAAATAAATGCATTGTAAAATAAATGACAAAGTTGTAAAATTCATTTCATTCTCAAGTTTTTTTAAAAAAGCTTTTGAATGTGATTTGTTCTACCTATATTATCTGATCACATTTTTTGAAACAATGACATGAAATCAGAAATCAAAAGGAACAGACACAACATTACCAAGAACAGTAACTTGCAAGCTAAAGTATAAATGCAAACTCAAATTCCTCTTGCCTTTTCCAGATTCTCTCACTTTCCTTTTCAAAACTGTACCAATGCTTTGCATTTTACTTGTGGCAAAAACAGAGAGCACATGTAAAGTCACCTTTTAATATTTTTTTTCAGCCATGGGTGTGCTATCACACACTTCAGGCAAAATAAAATAAAAGAATAAAACAGAAAAGATTGTACAGTGCATTCAATCCCTGGCTCTAAAAATTATGCTTTCTGTCCTTTGATTGTCCATGTGTATGGGTGTATTTTTACACAATACACAATACAGTCTCCATTTTCTTTGAAAGTTTAATCTTACAGTGTGCACTCTAACAAGATCCAGCAATGAATTAAACTTTCTTGAAATTAATAGCTGGGAAATCTTGTTAGAAAGCAAAGATATTTATGTATTTAACAGTTCTTTCCTCAGAATGTGCTGGCCAAGCCAGAGAACACTCCACCTTATTGATTAAACTATTAGTGCAGAGAAAAAAATTACCCTTCTATGTCCATTTAGATTTTTGGAATTTATATTGCTTTTTTTTCATTAAAATTCCAGGCACTCTTGGGGACTGTACAAATGTCAAAGTAGTGAAGGAGAGGCCATGAATTTATGCTAAGAGCAATTTGATGAAAATCTTCCATTCATTTCCCGAGTTGGTATTTTTTAACAAAAGGCATTAAGAACTAAGAAAGAGTCAACATATTAAAACATTTTTCAAAAATCCTCATTAGTCAGTGCTTACCATAAGAACTTGATATACAAAACAACCCTTAATTCTAAATAAATGAAGGAATAGTTCCATTGTTTACAATGAGACTAAAGCCTTATTAATTTAGGCTCGATCCAATCCAATCCTATTTTTGTTTTCAGCGAAACAAGGACTCATGATTCACACCCAGTCCAACAAAGTTGCTTTAATACTGGGATTACAATAACTCTGTGCAAAGTTTTTGCATACAGTGAAGAGCTGTTTTATGCAAATGTACGTCAAATATAGAGGATCTATGTGGTCAAGGAAATGTACCATGTTGATAAAGCAGCATGAATATGTGCCTACTAATGCAACCTGGCAAGAGAAAGGCAGCACAGGACATCTGAGGATGGCCCATTTCAATCCTCACAGATATCAATCTGCATTAACATCTGCTACTGTGCATAGATTTCCTACACATTATTATAGCTGTATGCTACACCTACAGCCAAATTTAAAACTAGATAAGTAAATCCCATAATGGCATGTAATTCTACAATGGATGGCAGTCTACACTTTGTTCTGAAAATGCTTTTTTTTCTCACAACTTGTCAGTTTTGTAGGGTAGTGCATTTCCCACAATAGCACAAACCCACTCAAAAAATTTTTTGAAGTAACAAAAAATTCCTTAGAAACAGTTTATTCCTGACCCGTTTGCACAAATATAATCTGAAGTACTGTGCAATAAAAGTGGCCCGTAAGCCTCCAACCAAAGTATTTATTTGTTGGTCTAGTAAAGTCACTGGGGCTGAAGACTATTACAATGCTATTGTTCACTCCAATGAACTGTCTCATGGAAAAGGAAATATTCAGTGATCAGATAAAATACTAGGAAAGTCACACTTATACTGGCCATAGATCTGAAAACCTCAGATCTAAATTTGTCATTCATTTCAACCTTCTAAACCCCAATGCATCTACTATAGGAAGATTGAATCCTAATGGTCCAAATTCCTGTCACTTCTCAATTGTTGCAACCCAAATGTTGGGGAACTGCTACTCTAGTGTTCCACTAGATTTCAAAAATAATTGTTTTGGTTGAGGAGAATTAACTCACAACCATAAACCTTGGATCTGCAGGACTAAGCTATCTGCGAGCCAAAGAGCTCATAGCAGATAATATATTGCTGCTTTTGGACATTTACAAAGAAAAAAGACAGAAAACAAAGTGTTTTCCTACAATAAGAGGCTGGGTAGGTGGGTGGGTGAGAGAGAGAGAATTAACAGAACATCATATATGTATCATTGGTCTATAAAACAAAAGGCTATTTTATAACAGTTGAAGGAATTGCTATGAAAATCTAAGTGCAAACAAATATAAAATTCAATTAATCCAGTGTAGCATATACATGTACTGAAAACTTGCAAGTTACTCTTTTTTGGGGATAGGAGAAGAGGTAGGAAGAAAAAGCCACTGGCAGATGAAATTCAGAGGGTGTTGCATTCTTTTAAATATAATAACCCAACACATTTAATAATAAAAGTAAACTCTACAAAAAGATTTCTGTTGTACATATGATACAAAATGCAGACTTTAGTGCAACCATTGAGCTACACCTTTTTCAGTCATGTTTCAGGAAGACTTGAAATTAGAAAAGTATGTGATTTCCACAGCTTCATCTTCCTACTGGTTCATGTTGTATCCCGATATTTGAGTGCATTTATTTTCCACTAGACAACTTGATTCATTTGCTGGTCACTTTCTTTAGATTCTGGTGTTAATCATTAATTGTATGTTATTAATTGCCTCTTCATGAAATTAAAACCTAATACAAAACACACATACAATCTCACACACACACACACACTCACATTAGCTTTGGACCAGCCTTTCCTCCTTTTGAAAAACAGCTGTGAGTACTGTCAGTCTCTCATATCAGCCAAGCTGAACTCTTAATTCAACTGTTCTTTGCAGATGTTTTCCTTCATTCTCTGGTACCATGGAGATGAACAATTCTGGTCACACTAATCCTGAGTGCCGAACTAAGTTTTTGATCAACAAACAACTCTGGCAGATGACAGTGAGGCATGATCACGGTTGTGCCATATGATATGCACTTTGGAAACCATTTTCAGCTTTTAAAAACAGAAAAGGAGAGAGTATAGAGAACTATGCAGTTAGCATACTGTTACGTGTCAGGAGACTGTTCTTCTAGCACACAAGGTTCTGACTGATTCTCCTCCTCATCCTCCTCTCCCACTTCTTCTCCCACTTGCTCATCAAGTGGAATTTCTGTGGACTCTGAGTCTTGGGTGCAAAGAGTCTTGGAGTCACTGCAGCTGGTATCTTCTTCCACTTGACTTCCACTGTCCTTCTCTGTGTCTGATTCACCATCTTCTTCCAAAGTTAGTTCAAACTGAAATTTTTCAGTTTGTCCTTGTCTACCCTCCTCTTGGTCATCTGGTGCAGGAGAAGGACTCTGAGGGATTGTGCTCTGGTACCATTCACGATTGTCCTCCAAAGTATCTAAGATGTCTTGGGCATCTGGATGGACAAGGTCTGCCCAGGTCTCCCAGAGAGGGTGAACAATGTAGTCTATAAAACCCACCTGTTACAATGTAAAATTAAGGGGAGATGTTATTCTAAAGAATGAAGGGATTAAGTTTATCACATTATTTATTAAAATTAACTTCACAAGAAGCTATCTTTTTATTTAGTCCTTTTCTATATTATTTTTCTTTTAAATGAAAACTCCAAATTATTTTTTTCATTATTTAATAGACTTTAGCATTTTATCAATCATTTGTGCAAACATGACCTTGAGGGAAATAAACAAAACCATGTTACAAGCAAAGTAATATTCCTTAAATCATGGGAAACAAGATAGCATTGGGAACAAACTCAGGTAGACTCCTCTCTGAGTCACTGAGATATAAGAGGGAGGGGAGATAAAGTCCAATCACTCTTGCAAGATTCCATTAGTATAGCATTGTAATATAGCGTAGCAATGTAATATAGTTCTTGTCTTCCTGTAGAGTCAGTTTCCTGATCTGAGCTGTGCTGAATGGCTGACATCAATCAACGGTTATTGCCTAATTTTTTCAAGAGCTTACAGGATTCTCTAAACCATCTACACTGATTTTTCATCCTTCAATTAAATGATTACCTGTGATTTTTCTACAGATGCATTGTGTTTATCACACATGGGACTTATTTCCATGCCTCTTTCTCTTTCTCGATCTCCCTGACGAAAGAACTCTTCCATTATTCTATCTGTCCATTGGCGATATAACTGGAGTGGCTTTGTTGGATTACTTAGATCTGCACAGTGTACCATATTTTGTAGAACCTAAATTAAACAGGAAAAAAATATTGAGAAAACTTGTGTTATTCCACTGGAGACAAAGCTCTTTTTCCATTTGCACATTGGTGGGTGAGAAAACAGAAATCTTGAAAATACATGGAGTGCAAGGTTTATTCTGAACACCAGCAGGATGATATGCTGTGCGTTTTTCACACTGACATTAATAGCTACCAATTATCTCACATCTATAGCTTTGCCTATATTAAAAGACCAAAAATGTTGTAAGTGCAAGACTAATCAGTTATGAAGATATGTGGGAATTAATCAAGCCTGTTAGCCACCCTCAAGACCAGGAAAAAAAACTTCAGACACTGACATAATAGTCTAAATTAGGATTGGCCTGCAGGCTACATAAGCATTTAAATGAAATTTTGAAAGCCAAACTGCAGAAATGGGTACCACTGTATATGGAAATGTTAAAAATGATTTAAGAATGAAAATTAATTTTAGCATCATTAAATGAAGAGTCAAGAAAGAGTGAAGTACCTCTGTAAGCTGAGGTACCTCATCAAGGAAGAATGCCCTAGAAGCAGTAATAACCAAGAGAATGTTTTTGCAAAAAGTATGGCAGTCAGTCCAAAAAGTCGAGTCACCCAGGTCATCTGAAGGTAATGATGTGAATAAAGAAGACAATTTGTTTGAAATGCAGAGTATCTTACCTGAATCCTATCTGAATAGTTATCAAGAAGTAGAACTCCAGAGCTAGTCACTTTCTTGGTTTCAACCATTGTTTTCAAATCGGCCAATAGATTCATATGCTTAGACATGTCTGTGGCAAGCACCTTGGAGGAGAAAGAAAAGATAAAGGTCACAATAATTGATTCCATCTTAAAGCTATTACATCTTGCTAAGGAAAATAAAGAGACAGTCAGAGAAAATATTCTAATCAATAGATAGATCTTATGGAAACACAAATTGCACAAATCAGGTATGACATATTTCAAACTATTCACCCCCCAAAAATTTTTTTATGTGGTACATCATTTTGCATTTGAGCTATAGGATGACAGAAAAATGAAAGTAATATCAAATTTATCATGAAATGGATCTATAAAAACAGAATACATTAAAAATCATAAATAAATAATGAATAAATAAAAACAACTCACAATGTCAATGACCATCTTCCTCAATGATTGCTTCTGCTTTTTTGTCACGTTCTGGAAAATGTCACAATTCTCCTCCTGCAATAATTTGAATCCAACAGCTAGATGATGGTTTTCCAGGACTGATGAATCATTATACATCAAGGCAAGTTCAGAATCTGCAAGTAAGTCCCAAGACAGCACTGTTAATAAAATTTGCATTTTTGTTTGATTGTTTTACTGGTTATATTTCTGGGTCTTAACATTATTAAGGCATCCAAAACATCCATCTACATTAGAAAAAAACACACCACTATGGCTAATTGCAAATCAAATCTGACAACAGACTTTCTTCAAGAACCATGCATTTTTTTTCTCAGAAAGTATATTTTTCCACAATTGTCATTTATCCTGCTGAAATGTTATCTGCCATGCTGACAGAGCTTTAGTATTGTCTCCTTTTTTTTCTATTGTTTGGTGGCGAGCACTAATGGAAGCAGAAGACTCATTAATAAGATGTAGAGTGCAATTAGATAACCCATGACTTGTTGGGTCATCCTTTCAGAGATATTTCCTTACCTAATCAGAAAAACAGAATGACCATATGCAAATTGCTATTGTTTTGGTTTGAAAATTAAAGAAGAAAGCATCATTTTATTAAAGAAGAAAGATGTCTAGCAAGGCAAATATAGATGCTTTTCATTTAATGAAGGATACTTTAAGAATACTGGTTTACATTTCTTTTTCCTTGGCTTAAAGTGACATACAGCTGACCATGCTAGAATACTGGTTTCTCCAGATAAATCAGCACATTCTCCATGATTTGTCCCTCTGCTTTATATACAGTGAGAGCAAAGAATGACTGTATTGGAACCTGTGTATGCTGAAGAGGGACAACTTCACCTTCTGATAAATTGACTGCAATTCTTGGAATCATGACAATGTCATTTTTGAATGCACCATCATTGTATGCATTCCTTTGGAAAGCTTTGGAAGATCCAAGTTCCTCATTAAAAGGATGGCAGATCTTCAATTCCAGTTTATCTGATAGCAGTCCAAAGAGTTCACCTGAATCAAGGAGTTCTGTGGGAAAGTGAGTAGCTTTAGCTCTGTGACAGAATGTGCATATGAAGAAACAGTTTTGGGAGAATTTTGGCGACACAGAGTTTTTCCAGAAAGAGGCCCAGAAGAAGACACTGTGCAGTCCTGAGCTGGATGGGGGAGGGAAAAGAGTCCAGGGTAGAATCTATTCTCCCCCCCTCCAGCTCAGTAATGATATAATGGTGGATTTGCCCTTGAATAATTACAGGATTCCATCCATTCCTCATTCAAATGACTTTTTTTTGTACCAAAGGGTTCATTTGGAAGAGGCAGTTGTATTAGCTAATGTTCTTCCTGAAACTGTTTGCGATAGGTTCACCATTGCTATATAAATTGAGAAGTTCATCAGGTAAATTGCCTATCCTGACCCTTCCTTTCATATAGCAGAAACTGGTGGTTTTTCCAGGGAATAGGAATTTATGACAGTGAGTGCAGACTTTGGCCATGGTACCAATATCAGCAGAAATATTACATTGTGAAAGTTGTGCATTTTGCCTTGCTCTTTCTGTTGAATGTTGATGTTGAAGGCAGATGTAGTCACACTGAGGAACTCTTGCAGTAATTAATGTCTGCCACACATTCTGAAGTTCATCTTTGTTTTCCTCCTCTGTCTTTTCTTGTTTCCTCATTCTGTACTTTTCCTTGTGGTTCAGCAGAAATACAGCCCTTTCATTCTCTATTTCTTTATCTCTCGCACTCCTTGTTGCCACATCAGTGATGTTTGGTGTCATTTCTTCACCATGAGGTTTCCCCTCTATTTCTACCTTGCATAATTATGTTATTTATTTACAATATTATACATTGCCATTCTTACCTCAAAACAGTTTAAAATAGGATCATATGACCTCCTGAAGGCTAGGGCATGACTGATCTATCTGATCTCCAGTGGCCAAAGGAGGGAACAGACTACACTCAGTTTCATAATAATAAGTAGTTGAAAACAGGATGGGCAAGGACTGAGGTACATAATAGCCAATGTATTTGTCTGACACCAGAGAGAGCCAGTTTCTATTCCACCTATAGGCATAGCAGCTCACTTGGTGATTTTCCCATCTACTTCACAAGTTTGTGAAGTAATATACAAGAAGGGACCATTATGTATATACATACAAAGTGGTCCATTCTCTTGAATGGAATATAGATGCATGTGCATGTTGTGTGCCACAGCAGGGGGCACATAAAGCAATAAAAACATCCAGGCCTTTCTTCAGGCACTTGTTTCCTTAAAAGCCACATGATAAATCAATGTCTTGCTAGTAGGTGGGGAAGGGAGTGATAGATTGCGAGAAACTGCCACAGAATTTGAACAAGAAGATCATATGCAGCAGCCCAGCAGTGTAGCAGCAGCCAGTAGCAGTGAAGAAGCCTCAACTTCCCCTAATTTCATTCTCTTGGGAAATATGGATCCCGATTTTGGATGTATTATGTAAGTTAGCCCATTTGAGGTACCTTTGTTCAAAAATTGTTCTCTATGATTCACTACTTCACCTAGGTAAAGGTCATGACAACAAGAGTTTTAATAGTATAGAGATTCCAAATGGGCCAGAGAATCCCAGAAAAAATATAGAGCAGTGATTTTCAAACTCAGCAACTTTAAGATTTGTGGGCTTCAAGTCTCAGAATTCCACCGTAACCACACATATCTTAGAGCTACCAAGTTTGAGAAACATTGATCGAGAGGAATAAGTAGCATTCAGGGACCTCCAACAATCTATCACAAGAAAGCTGCCTTAGATTTCCCAGTTGCTTGAAATCCATTGACAAGTAACAATGGAAAGACCTTGAATGTCCAGCTGACTGAGTGAACAGGAAAACCCATTCCTCAATTTCCCATTGTAACAAAGAGATGCTGGACTAGAAATATACTTTTAATGACTGGCCATATGATGTATGCAGAAACTCTACATATCCAAAACCAATTTTTTTTTAAAAAAATCCCTTCTTGTTGCATGTTCAAAGAATCTCAAATATACAGACAAGTAGTAGTGCCAGAAATAAACTAACTTACTTGTGTTGATAAGAAATTGGTTTGAAACTCCAGGATGGTCAACATCATGTATTGCACTGGCAAAAATAGCAGCTAGAATCTCCAAGTCCGTGAAAACAGCCTAAGAAAAAAAGAGGAAATATTTAGGAATAAGATAGTGGAACAGAGAAGAATGATTAATGGAGAAAAAATGTTTTAAGTGAAACAGAACTGCATTGGTCCTCTATCCATTTAGGTTTGGATCTGTACTAGTACAAACACTTCAGTGCTTGTTATTTTTTCTGAAAAAGCAAAGATTAAAGTCCAATTTACAAAATATTTTTATAATAAAGTATCAAATGTTGATATCTTCAAATTAAAATTATTTTCTCAGTAATTAATCATTTGGCTAGCCACCTTGGTGTATTGTGAGACATGAAAGTAGGCTTCACAAGTAAGTTTTTTAATTTCACCCACATATTGTGGACTTACTTCCAAAGCTGGGGTTGATAAAAGCACATGTGTTGACTGTACAACATCAGCAGCATGTATATTGTTGTGATACGCCACATCTGCATGATAATGGTCCTCCAGTGTCATCAAATAGGTTATTAAGATGTCCGGTGGAATTTTAAATGTTTTTAGCAAATCCCGTTCCTGCAGTTACAGAAAGAAAAGTAATTGAGGGTGATGGTTCGTTCTCTGAGCTTGTGGGTTGGTTTCATTACCAGGCTAGGTGATATTTTCAGCGGAGTTTAGGGGATGTCAGTGTCAGTGTTCTTCCGTTTATAAGGTGTGGGTGTGTCGAGTGAGGTCTTGTAATGGGTCAGGTGTGAGTCATCAGTGAATCTTGTGATGGGTCTTGTGATGGGGAGGTTACATCAGCTCAGGGTCATTGGGAGATGAACTGCTGGTGTTGGGGGAGCTTGCGTGGGTTGGTTGAGGGCTGGTGCTGTCTCTGGTTAGCTGTGTGGTTGATTTGGATTCTGAGGGGTTCATAGGCTGGTTTTAAGTCAATGTGTCTGGTGATGGAATTGCTTGTGGAGTGCCAGGCTTCGATGAATTCACGAGTGTGGCGGGTGGTAGCGTGGCCGATGATTTTTGTGTTGCTCCAATCGAACTGGTGTGGTTTGGTATCGGTATGGGTAGAGAAAAGTAATTGTTTATACAACCTCTAGAAAAGGGAAAAAAATTCCTCTTAAACATACCTGAAAGATTGTATACATGACGACTGTCAAAGGTCGGTTCCCAGATAATTCGGCTATTTTAAATACTTGGAGGCCCCATTTATTTACATCTTCTAGCTCCTGATGTAAAATCACACAAAAAACAGAAACTGTTACCCTGGCTTTGCAATAGAGTTTGCATAAAACATCTGCTCTTGACTTTCTTTGTATTCTACATTTTAGCAACTAATTTTTCAGATTTTAAATAAGAAGTAGAACTGTTGCTCCAAACTGCATGCACCGAAATGCTTCAGTATTGCCTTGATGCTCTAATAGAGCAAAGAGCATTAGGAAATACTCCAGGGAATGACACTACCTTACTCTAACTTATGTTTTGGGAATATTCTTTTAAGTTTCAAAATAATCAAAATAAATTATTTTTCCTGCAGACTTTTTTTGCTACTTTATTTGGTGCAAACATGGCATCTGAATTTTTGTTAAATTCTATAGGTTTTTTTTTAAAAAAAATCTGTTTGATTTCTGCAGTTACACAGTTCTAATGCACAATGTGCTACTGAAAAACTGAATCGGAATATTTAGCTGTACAAAATCAGTGTGTGAGATTTTATACACATGACATATAAATTCATATAGACAAATGAATGTACGTAAATATTTGTGAATGTAGTGTTGTAATTATATTTGGCTCTAAGTTACAGATACTGAATCAGCTGGAAATCAGCATTGCTCTTACCTTAGCTAGAATATCTTCTTGATCTGTTTTGACTCCAAATTTGGGGATGCTAGAATTTGTTAAGCTGGAGCTGTGCATCAACTTTTTTACTCCACTGATTTGAGACATAGGCCGTTTCTTTTTCTCTTTTTCTTTCTGTGTTGGAGATGGCATTTCCACTTCATGCTGCTTATCTTTTAAAGAAGAAGAAAAAATCTATAATTTATTTGTAAATTATAGCTACCTTGTAAGAAGTAACATTAGGAGCAGCATAGCTTTTCATAGAAATGTCCTTCACAATTATTTTGAAATAAGACGGTGGAAATCACCATTTAACCTATTAACTTGTTCTTTTTCTAGTTTTGCAGCTAGGTAACTTTGGGCTAGTCACTCTTTCTTTTGGCCCAACTCACCTCACAAGGTTGTGGTTGTGGGAACAATAGGAGGAGGAAGGCGTATTGGACATATTTGTCATCCTGAGTTATTTATGAAAACAACAAAGGAGGGATATACGGTAAATAAATAAAAAAATAACTGCATGAAAAGGTTCAAGACCACTTTAGTTTCAGATTTAAGCAATCTTACACTCTCTCAGTAGTGCAGCAACAATAACTTTACACACAGCTACAAAACCTAATGATGTTGATATAAAACAACTTGAATATTATAAACTAAAAAGTGAAACAAGGAGCCATTAGGCTCTTAGGTCCAAATAATTTTTTTTCAGTTCTGATTTTTAGGAATTTGTTTATATTATTTTATGCTTTCTTAAATATTGAGTGAAGTTATCCCATTATTGTAGTTTGAGTGGAGATCTTAACTCAATATCTCCCATGTTTCAAATCTAACCTATCACCAGTTTGTCTCTGAAGTGGTGATATGTTATGAGTTGATGAATAAGGTGGTTATTTTTACAAATATTAATTCAAAAATATTTGGCTCACAGTCCAATTTATCTTGCAAATCACAGATTTTTGATATCTGTCAACATATGCCTCTCTTTTTGTTGTTAGATTAGGAACACTGCTGAAAATGAAGCAAAGTAAACCAATTTTGTGCTACTGCAATGAGCATAACTAGGACATGATTTACTCCAATTACATTGACCAAAATAGAAAATAATAGGTGATTGAGTATAAAAAGCTGGCATATGTTTTATGAATGAACAAATGAAAACAAATAATAAAGGAGCTACAATATCATATTTATTTAAAAAGCAAAGTTCTATTGTAGATAATAACCTCAAAAACTGTATCTAGCTGGAATAATTCTAATTGTTGCCATGAACATGCTGCAAGAAAGATCACAATCATTGTCTTGTTTTCAACTAACCATAATTTGTTTTAGCAAAACCTAGTTTTAACTATAATCTGTTCAAGCAAGCCAAATTCAAATCTGTTCCTGAACATGATTTATTCTCTCCTCCCCAAATGTTTAAATAAATTGTAGTTTCAATCCAAATAATTAATAGCAATTAACTGTAAAGAGTAGAGGATGTTTTTGATAGCCTTCCTTTTGAGAAGATATAATGCACACATTCAAGCATTATCTTCAAACAAGGCAATGTGAGTAATGCTTATTAACTCCCTGTGAGTTAATGAGCTCATACTAAGTTGATCCCAGGTGAACAATGGCATTCTCTGATCCTGTGACATAAGATTGTTTTGCATACACATACTGAACCGGTGGGTAACAGAAAATCAGGATCACTATTCTAGCTCTTAATCTCCACAGTAGAGGTAAAAATAAAAACTTCCCCACTGCCACAATTGATGGCAACACACATAATTGTGCTATACCTGACACTAGATTGTTGTTCTCCAATCTAATAGAGTCATATGTGTTGTACTGTTACTCTTATAAACTCTTGACAGTCAGCACCAGCATATACTTTCTAGATACGGGAAGATATCATGGTAATTCAGGTTCCCTCTCAAAGTTCCTCTTATGCAAATTAGGCAGAGAAATTAAATCTGGCCAGGAGTTTGAAATCTATTTAAGACCTTCAACTCTAATAGTGGTTTTCTAAGATTATCAACATGGAACCAAAATAACTTATATTATATGAGGAATCTATGTCAATTTTCTTTGCATAAAAAGTTGATTGCTAACTGCAAATATATATATATATTCCATTCCAATCAGTTCTTTCTCAAATTCTTATTTTTCCCCCTAATAATACTGTACCATATTCTCGATGTTGTCAAACTGTAAAACCATATGATGAAATACTGTTTTCTATTTGGAGAGACTCTTTTTTCTCCCTTTCCTCTAGATTAATGCTAACAAGAAAAAAAAAGCATGATGCATGTACAAAATATTTAAGAACTGCATTCATCAGTCTAGAAATTGGGGGAAATCTATTGCCACATGTATGTGTTGGCACAGATCTTTTCTTTAATCTTTTAGATTAGGCTAGCATTTACTGGAAAAAGCAGAGAATTCTGATCAGATTGCTACCGACAAGTGAAAATGTCACCAATTTTCAGCCAGAGGCAGTCAGCCCTCTCCTTTACTGATCACCAATTAAATAAAACTGAGGGGGGGGGGAAGGATTTGAACCGGCACAAACCAAGAGCAGCTGAAATATAATGACTCATGTGTATGCTTTGATGTTTATAACTTCAGTCATATGAACAAAGTTTAGAACCATCAAAAGAAAGGGCTCTAAAGCAAGATGGCAGATGCATTCAAGTGAAAGGAAATATTAGAAGGGTCATGGAATTCCAAGGGATTTCCTAAGGTTTCATTCAAAGTGAGCAAATCTTACGAATTAAGGCAAATATACATGTCCCAGGATAATGTTGCAGGATACAGTCTGGGTCGGTCACTGGAACCAGAGGTTTTGTCTTCCAAGCTGTTGTGCTGGAGCCCATCTTCATGGAACTTCTCTCTAGCAGAGTGTGTTCTGTTATGCATGTGGTATTTAGATGTTGTTTGGGCTGTGTTGATGGCTGGCTTTTAAGCCATTAGCTGTCATTTGCTTGTGCTGTCCAGCTCTCGCCTTCTAAGTACTTGATAGGCTGGTGGTAAATCAGCACCCCTGTTGACTGACCAGGGGCCTGTTTCCCAGGCTTCAATCACTTCCTTGGCTGTTTTTGTGCCTGCTTGTCCAACAATTTTAGTAACTGAAAAATTGAATGTGTGTCCTTGTTCGTTGCAGTGTGAGGCTACCAATGAGTTCAGGTCTCTTTGTCTGATCGCTGAGCAAATCTTGCTTCTCCTTATCTCAAACAATTTCCTTCCCAGAGATATAATTATGCAATTGTTTAGTGGGCCCTATCGTGCTCTATTCAAAAGGAAGTAACCTATCTCTACCAATAATTTTAAAAAATCAATAAAACATGATCCAGAGTTGTTCAGATTAAGTAGCCTTAATGGTAACTTTGTGCAAGGTTTTAAGGCCTTCATTATTAATAAGAAAAGGGAAAAGTCTTTTATAAAAAGTCTTTTATAAGACTTTATCAAGAAAACTGGTGGGTTGTGGTACTGTTCTTCACATATCTCCATTATTGCACATGAAGGATTGCTTCATCACTACCATCCTGCATGCAGATATTTTTTATCATTAAAAAAAAGTCCTACTGGAGCCCATCAAAAGTCTTTTAGTTTGATAGTGTGACCTATAACGCCTAACCAGGCGTCTGTAGGAAGCACAAAAAAAAAAGAGTTATAAAGAAGAAATTCTTCTATGTATTCATTTCTATAGGTAAGCACATTTCCATTTTTTTCAAGCTTCCTGGAAATTGTCTAATTTTTCTTGTCAAGGGTCATAAAATCCAGTTTTCTATCTAATTCTCTAGATAATGAAAGGGGTGAATTTTCAAAACATTTCTTTCATTTTGGATCTGAATCACAAGAAAGAGAAACCTATAGCATCAGTAGGAAAAGTTCTAGTCAATTCTATCATTTCCATCATGCATTATTTTCCACCACTTATTGTTGGTTGGCCCAAATATCTTGGCAACAAACTATTACCTGGAAGTATTGAGACCAAACTGAGAAGAGGCAACATTGGCAATAGTGCATGACTTGATAAATTTCTTGTGCAAATGCTCAGGCCTGTTTCTTATATTCCTTTGCATAATCCAGTAATGTCATGGATGTTGTACTATATAATTTTGATGGAGGCCATCCCCAGTTCATTGTCTGGAGAATCCTAGTCTGCAATAAGATCCTGAATACTTCTTCTGCATTTTGTTACCTAATGTTACCAATCTACAAATACTTATCACTGAATATTTTACGGCTTAATAATTGTTTCCAATGATTTTTACTAATGAAAAGCAATCCTACTAGTGCAAAGTACAGAAAACAATTTTCACCAATTTATTTATCTATTATTTGGTAAGCTCCCCAGCCGCTTACTGACAATTGGGGGATTTTTTCCCCCAGAAATTATCATATAGAATATGGCAGAGGGAACCAAGACATGCAAATTATCTTTTTTAGTTTCTGCTTTCTATTTCTCCCAGGCAGTCATTTTGTCTTCCCTTCTTCACACCTCTAACACTTCTGTTTGATTGTCAACTGATGATGGGGGAAGGTCAAGGAGGGAGGGGGAAAAGAGGTGCAAGTGTTTGATTGTCAGCTGGGTCTATCCTACTGCACGTTTTCTTTTAAAAAAAAAATCGTAATAGGCAATAAAAATACATACAAATAAAACTTTAGATTATTCCTCTATTTTCCAAATTCCATTTCAATTTTTCCTTAGCTAAATGTATATTTCAAATAGCAAGCAATTTGAATATGGACACTGCTTTGTTATTCATCTTTAAGTCAGCACAGCAGTTATGTTAGAATATTTAGATTGCAAATCATTGCTATATATTGCGGTGAGACAGAACCTCGCATACAGCCAATTTTGCTTGCTGTTTATGCTGCACAAACAGAAGTAAAACTTAATAAATTCCCTGGCTGTATACTTTGCTAAAGACTTAGGTGAGCCTCATCTTGTCTTATTTCTGCCAAGAACATTCTGAACCAATGCATGTTCGGAATCATACCCGGATGGCTCAGGAGCACACAGTGAATTATACTTGCAGCTTGTTACCAAAATTGATTTTTTTTATGTCAATGTAGCTAAGGTTATGTTAAACACAAAAGCCCTCCATCTTAAAATGAACCATCAGCTAGAAAACCATTATAAACAATAGGAAAAGTATTATTTGACCAAACAGCACAAATCTATATCAGAAGTTTTATATACTTCTGATAGGCAGATGTCTTTGCTGATTGGATCCAATCAGAATATTTACACAAACATTTAGAATATTTGCACTATTCACAGAATCACTTCAGATCTTTCTGTCACAGCACATCCATATATCACTCCCTAAGTCGTCTTTTTTTCTTTAAACATTTCACTTCTCTCTTCCTAAGGGTCTCTCCAACATCTTTCAACCATGGCTTTTGCAGTCTTCCTCTTACCATTCCTTTCACTTTTTCTTCATTTGTTTTGTGATGCTATCCTGACACATTCTCTCAGTATCACCCAACTACCTTAATATACTTCATTTTATGTTCATTTACTTTTGTATTCAATCTTCATTTCAATATCCATTTATTTTTCATATCTTATTAATTTACTAAGTATATAGTTTGTAGGTATCTTGTTTCCATTACATTTAATTTTATGTTTTTCCTGAAATACTGCACTCTTACTTTCCAATAATAAAATGGGCATTGTATGTACAGCCATTTTTGCTTTAGTCAAGAAACAGCCGTTCCTTATAAGAGACTACCTTATTCCCACTATCTGTCCACTTACACATCTTAACATTTCTCTATTCATTTCCCCAGATTTATAAATGCACTTCAGCTCATCTTAAATACAGCTATTTTAACATCACACTTATTTATTTTCTATCAATGCACTAAATAATGATTATGCACCATCAAGTGGTGCTGACTTCTAGCAGCCAAATAGATAGATTTCTTCCATGATAATCTGTCCCTAACCTGATCTTTCAGATTTTCTAACAGTGTATCAATTGCCAGTGCAACTGAGTCTGTCCATCTTGCTGATGGTCATCCTCTTCTTGTTTTTCCTTCCACCTTTCCCAGCATTTGCAGTTGGCTGCTATCGTGCTGTCAGGCATGCATGTGCTACAAGAGTGTGGTTGAGCATGTGTCCTGTGGGCAGGTGCTATGGAAAATGAGATCCACAGGTTCTCATACTCCATAGTTGGGCTGTTCAAGAGAAAAAGCAGTGGGAGTCACTGAGAGTGAATTGGGTGGCCATGAAAATTTTCTTAAATAAATAAAATGACTTACAGGAGTGACTTACAATCTTTCCTGCCAGCTTTCCCAGTGACTTTGTTTATAAGAAGCTGGCAAGGAAAGCCCCAAATGTGATTATGTGACTTTGGGGTGCTGTAAGTGTCATGTGAGCCAGTTGCCAAGTGCCTGGATTGCAATCATGTGATAATGAGGATGCTGAGATGGCCAGAACTTCAAGGGCAGGTCATAAATAACTCTTGTTCGATGCCTTTGTAACATCAAACAGTCACTGAACAAGTGGTCATTAACAGAAAATTAACTGTGTAATAGTTTTCATTATTTTTATTTGCTATTGTAATAATTATTTTATGCATTTTTCCTGACCAATCTGATTCTACTTCAATGATTACAGTCAAATATTGTTCCACAGTTTGTACAATGTGCTGTATCTTCTCTTCAAACATTTCCTAGATATTTTCCACTTGGAAGCATTTCAAATGCAGTTTTGTATTTGATTTCTATTTTTATGTCCCTACTGTCAATTGAATCTTAATTTTGTCTTAATTTCATTAGCTGCTAGAGTTATTATAACAATATAGAGAAATAGTCACTATAACTGGACTTTCAGGTTTGAAACCATAATTATTCCTTATATACTATTCTTCCTTATACATTACATCACAACATCTTCTCTCTCTATAGCAATAATCTTAATTACAACTTTTCCATAGCTTTTAGTGTTATAATGGTTATATATATTTCAGATAGATTATTTTTATATTTTGTTATTTTAACTTTACAAAATCATTTAGTTGTCTTTTATACATTCTATCATATTTTACATATAAATTTTTATACCCCAAATATTTAAGTTTTAACTTACATTTTTACTTATGTTGTTAAAGCTCCTTTTAGTCTAATCAAGTGTGACTCTTGTTCTGTTTGCTAGTTAATGGCTGAAATAAAATGGCTGAAATGACTGAATATCCATTTTTCCCATTCACAAATTCAAAAGCATCCCTTTTCATATTTTGAATTAAATTTAAGGAGTGTACTTTTTTCACTCTTTTCTAAGCAGGTTCCATGTTCTCTTTCCTTAAGGCTACTTTCCATTCACTGTACTGTGAGATTAACGTTTCATACTGGACATGTACATTTTCTTCCTGCTATTTTGTTTTGCTACTTCCTTCCTTTTCTTCTATACTTATTCTCCATCTAGTCAAGATCTACTTTGAGACTACCAAATAATGACCTATCCTTCAGAGTTTTTAAACATCATTATATCCTTCCCTATTTTTTTTTTAAAAAACTCATCACAAGCAAATCAATCATGATTTTATTCATATTTCCTGCTATGTATTTGCATGAATAGTCTTATGTTTAAATCACATATCTGAAATAAAAAATTCTTTAGTTCAGATACTCATCAAACTATCACTATTCTTGTTTACTCTATGGTCTTCAAATGAACCAATCACTTTTTCTACACTCTCCCTTCCTCCTATCTATCCATTCATGTCATGTAATATAATAATTTTGCCTCTGGATTGCATTTATTCAGAATGCTGCTTAATTTCTACAAAATTATATCTAATTCTTCCATTATCATCAGTCACTGTGGCATAATATACCACTATTACTAACACATAGATAGGATTCCTATTTTCATATGCACCCCATAACCTAAATGACATCAATGAATACATAATCAAATCTATACCTTCACTTCCCTAAATGTATTTATTCATTCCATTCTACTATATTGGATCACCCTTATTCATTTTGTTTCTTAATTCATTCTCTTTGTTATTCACTGGTAATGTTGCCATGAAACTTTACCAGATGAGCCCACATTGGCCATATGTCCTTTTTTTAAGTAGAAAGATATAAATTAAGTTAAATTAATTGTATCCTGTGCCATAACCAATATCCTCTAGCAGTGGGCAATATTGGTCAGTATAGGTACATTTCGGTTAGTCTACCACAATTAAAGTCCAAATTTTCCCCTATGCATGCTCATGATATTCTATGAAACTTTAGAGCTCCAATCTATAGAACTGCTTGGCAAGGCAACATTTGTTTGACCAGATCTCACCAAGTAAGAAGTGTATGAAGTGTATTGACATATACTCAAGACACAGCTGTAGGAGTTGTGTTAAATCAATGGGAGAGCAGCAAGACAACTGGAGTCAGTGGGAGAAGGTTCTGTGAAGACTGATGTCTCAGGAATATCCAGGGACAATTGGGGGAATGGGTGGACTGATAGGATGACAAGTGCCGAGGCAGGAAAGCTCTGGGATTAGTAGCAAGATGGGCAGGCTGACACAACAATCCACATCAGATTCAAGAAGACCCTAGGATAATCAGAGGAATGAGCAGGTTTATCAGTAGCAGTGATGGGAAAGGCCTTGGAAAAATTGGAGGATGTATGGACCTGCAAGAGGCACTATGTATTTGTAGTTGCAACAGCAAGATGGGTAGCATATGAAGAAAAAAGAAAGAAAGAAAGAAAGGAAGGAAGGAAGGAAGGAAGGAAGGAAGGAAGGAAGGAAGGAAGGAAGGAAGGAAGGAGATTCAAATGTAGCTTTTATTTGGGTTTAATGAAATTATGTTCCTCTAATGAGTCTGAAATATTTTAAATGTATTGCCTTTTAGTCATACTCCTTTGGGAATAGCTTGGAAGGTTTAACAAAGGCATATGGATAATGTAGGTCTATGGATAATATAGACATATGGATAATGTACCATAAGACAGCTAGCAAAAGTCCATCTGGTAGACTCTTTGCCAAACTCTTATCAATTTTTATTGTAAAAGTTACAATTAAATAATTGTATTTAATTAATGCCTGTTTTATTTATTTATACATATAAATACATACATACATATGTGTGTGTGTGTGTATGAGATTTCCCGTAGTAGGTAGTGAAAAACCAAACCAAACCAAGAAATACCAGTTTTTATACTCATGCTTACCTAAAAATGTGTTGGATATATATTCAGAGACTTGATTGCCTGATCGGCTCATTTCAGATAAGTGGGTTAGCTCTCGATTGAGCATTCTTTTAAACTGTAAAGAAAAGCAAAACAGTGTATGTCAATGGCCAGTACATGGGTATATAGTACAAAAATTGTGTAAGAACCTTTTTTAACCGATATGTTCACATTTTCAAATCAATATACTACTTTAGCTCAATGGCATAACGAGAAATAAAATAAATTATTGGGGAAAATGTCAAAGTAGACTTCACCAAATATATTATTCCACGCATCATTTTATATAAAGAGATACTGAAAAATTCATTATGGATATGAGTAGAGATCAATTTCATTGCTCTTATCCTAGTTAAAAGTGTATACTAAAGGTTTATAATATACACACATCCCACCTATGTTCTCATTAAATAAAGAGAACAATTTTCTTAAATTCCTGTTTTTTTTAGTGGTCAACAAGCCATCTCCTTCCAGTGGAAATAAAAATTACATAGCAACATTATACATTTCTATAAGCAGGAATAAACTGTAACTCAATTACTTATTACCTGTTTACTTAAACATCTGTATATCTAAATTTACACACCTAAATTTTAAAATAATAACTAATGATCCAACTGCTTTGGGAACTAGGTATTCAGATTTTATTGCAGATATAGCCATTTTATAAAGCAAAACATGTACAGATTAAAAAAAAAACTGATGAGGGTCATGTAAAAAATAGAGAAACTGGCTTTCTCAATTTGATGACCTATAGACGGATTACATTTTAACGTCCACAATCTTCAACCTGCTGATTGAAGAGCATGAGTTGATGATGAACACTTTTTCAGGCACTTGTGAAGGCTGGAATAAGCTATTCCAATTATCAAAAAGCACGGCCTCCAATAGTTTCATCAGTTTTCTAATTGTGTGATTTCATTAGCTCAATTACACTCGCTTTAGTGGCAGACAATCTTGCTATCAGTTTAGCAAGTAGGGGTTCATAAGCTTTGGAGGACAGTACTGATTGTGACTTAGTTTTATTAAGCAGCTTGTGTTTTAACAAAAAAGTACTGCAAGGCTTTCTGCAATATTCTTTTACTGTAACATTGTTCTTGCTTCAAGAATTCAAGGCCTATAAATACATAGCAAGAAGCAGAGAGGCTGAAGGGCTGCCCCATTTGTTTCGTTGCACAAGAAAGCGTCTTTCAGCAGTCTCTGGTGACTTGAACGGCTGGCCTGATGAGTCACAGGAAAGGGCGATAAGGATGATTCCCATCAACCAGCAAAGACACAGAGCCTCCAGGGTATCCTATGTTTAAGTCTCCCGTAGTGCTGAACTAAGCCTGCTATAATTTCCACACAATTATCATAAAGGGGCTGGGAATTATGAGTTTTCATCCTTTACTTATGGAAGGAAGCTGGTTAGAAAAGGCTGGAAGAATACAGAATTAGAAAGTTTCTTGTCGGGGGGGGGGGAGGAATAATTTAAATTGTGATTTTTCCATATGCTAAGAAAATGTAAATTTTAAAATTTACTTAAATCTTCCATATTCAGAAAAGTTAGACACTGGATTATTTAGAAATGTACTGTTTATACTATTTGTATTAAAGCTACATCATTTTTGCAGCCATCAGGTTGTGAATATACAGCCTGCTCTATTAGTAGTGTTCTTTCACATATACTGTTTCTTTTCCACATCTGCTCTCAGTGTATGGACAATATACATTACATAAGTGAAGTCTTGTCTGAAAATAATCCAGTGTAGGTTGAGGGTAGACTAGGATACACATTTAATGTCTATTTGCACTTTTCCTTTAGCCCATTTACACATTTGCTTTTATGAGTTTTCTTCATACTGCTTCTCACATGTCCCATTCCTATCTTGTATTGTAAATCTCGGCATGAATAGGACATTGATTTGCTTGCTCAACAATATATGGGACAAGTATATTCAAACAGGTTCTGTCCAGGTGATTTGCATTACAGTTTTCTTCAGACATAGGTTAATAGCCAAAATATTTGTCTTGGTTAACTCAAGATTCCAGGGCAGTTGGCTTTACTCATTTTGAACATGGTCAAAGGAGAAAGAACTCCCTAAACAGACTTTAGGTGGATGGCAAAGTTTTTTTTTTATGTGCGTTGAGCAAATACATAAGAGTTATCGTTAGTTTTGCCTCAGTACCATAGACTGAAAATTTGTGAAGGGCATTAAGTGAAATTTAAATTGTGACTAGGTAAAGTTATTTGAGTCTGTTCAGAAGGTTGGCCAGAAGCAAAACAAACAAACAAAAAATTAAAGGAGAGAGGGAAGGCTAGGGCAGATATACTCACACTCTCCTAATATTATATTAACCTTCATTATTGTCCAATTGTAAAAGAGTGTGCTAACATGAGATAAAATCTTAAAGTCATTCTTGATATTTTCAGAAAATCATAGGTATCATTGGTCTCTAATACTGCTGCAACACAAAATTCTTATGCTGGTCCCCACCTTAGAAAATAGAATTCAATCTGTTGCTAGTTACACTGTGCTCTCAACTTGATACCTGGAAATTGTTGCTATGATAAAAACTTATAATGTATTAAAAGGTAGAATTGAAGCACTTCTATGATTTCATATCAACTATTATTTTACCAAGTCTGGCTTGAGTCAAGATGATTAACTCAGCTAAAATAAAAGAGGAAACATATTTCTGTTTGCAAGATTACTCTGCTGTTAATCATTCAACCCTTTCTGAGTTCTTTAAGCTCCCAGTATCACTTAACCTAATTCATAACAAGCATTGAACCAAAGGAAGAAGAGTATGTTGTGTGATTGGCTTCAGTTAATCCCAAATCACAAGAATACAACATAAATAAATAACTCAACATAATACACGCAATGAGAAAAAGGTGAATTCTATGTCACGTAGATCCAATACTTCCTATCTAATTCTTTCAATTCTGTAAAGAACTGAACAGCATAATACAGAATATTAGGAATAAAGCTCTTGTATTCATAATTAGGAGGCAATACAATGAGATTTTTTCCTTAATGAGCATGTATAAATCACAGCTTAGGTTCCTACCTCATTTTACATTCTACATGAGTCTTAACACATGTAGAAGGTATGGATTGCTTATATATTTTTCAGCATTAGCAATTTAGGATATATATTCTCCAAATCTAAATTCCCCTCATGTTTGTACTGGACAGCCATTCAGAGAGATATGTGAAAATGAAAGAATAGGAATACTGTAGATGATCTAAGAAATATTACAGTCCTTTGAAACCCAACTAATTTTTCAAGGAAAAGATAGTTATGACCTATAATTATTTGGATTATTCATAGGAAATAAAGTTGGACATTTTGCAGGGTAGAATTAAATTAAAGTATAGATTTTATATGAAACTAGTCATGAAAATATTAATTGTTCATCTTGAAAAATATTTTATTGGACAAATCTGCAGTGAGAAAGAATTCTACTTCACAAAGCTCATAATATTAATGATAATAAAGCAAGAAAAGTATTAATTTGTTTAGTGAATTGCTGGCAACAACAAAAAGACCTTACTATATTTGAAAGCCTAAACTATCATGCCTCAGTTATTAAGGTTTTTATTGTGCTCACTTGTATTTATTAAATAGCGTTAAAAACTCAGTATTAGTAAATGATCCAATAAATGATCATATAATTAAACTGCTGCTTTAAGCCAGAATATTGGGCTGTTATCTACTACATCACAGTTGGCAAACTGATTGTCTTTTCAGAAAGATTGCTTGGGGTCAGTTGCTCTTCATTCCAATGCACTCTAGGAGCCAAACCACATGCACATAGGGCTTCACCTACTTCAGTGGTTTGTCCAAGGCCACTCAGTGACTTTAAAAGAAGCAAAGATCCAGGAGTTCCCTATCTAGTGTCCTCCAACATAGTATTTACAATGTATAATTACTTAGATTATACCCAGTGTGGTTTACCTCCAGGCCACCATGCTGGGAAAAAAAATCTATTCTAGTCCAGCTTCATCACTTTGTCCTACTGAGACCCTTAATATGAACTATTACTGCTACATTTAAATCTGATCACTTTCTGTTGGTATTTATTGGTCACACAAGGACAGAATTCCAGTTGTTCTATTGATTTTTTTACACACCACATTTTTATGGATAAGGTCTACAGACAAAAGGGAAAATGTTAATGTTAAAGTCAAGTTATTAATCTTTATTTGACTAAGTGATCATGTATTTAGAAAAAAGGCATATTGTTAATAAATCTTGAGCATCCAGAACATACATAACAGGAGGTTTTGTAATAAGTTCATGGTTCTTTCTTAGATTAGCACTGCATATCACAAATATATATGACGGTATGTATTCAGTCAATATAAAGGAACAAGCCAAGCTATTTTTTTAGTTGATGCTTTATAAATTAATTCTCAACAAGTTAAGGTTGACAACATCACTGAGAGGGAAAGCACTCACTATTTTAGAATGGCTTTAATCAATTTTGAAATGTGTGTCATAGACAGAAAGCAAAAAATAGAAGCGTAATAATTGCTATGTTTACATATAAAGAAACATGAAACTACACATTCAGCCCTTATTGTTTATATGCTCTTTAATAATCTTCTCCTTGGAGAATGAAAAATAGCACAACAATCGAAGCTTGGATTTCCCCAAAACACAGTATTAAAAACAATGATCCTATAGCTACTAAACTGAGAATATGCCCTATTCTGAAGACTGCGCAACTCTGTTATAGGTTCCTTTGAGCATAAGTGAATGTTAGAGGGAGTTCACTATTTTCAATTACATATTTTAAACTTACTTTAACATATCAGTAAGGCCTCAATCTATAATACAAAAAAATCAATGTTCAAGCAAACACTGCATGCAAACAAACATGACGTAGAAAGTTCTTAAATCCTACCTTTATGTATCCCCAAGATACTGACAGTAAATAGTTTGCTTCGGGCATTTTTGATGCTTTTAGTATTACTAAATTAAAACAGAATTTTCGGTCCTCTGTTATTACTGAGATACAGGGGAAAAAGTATGCTGAATCCTTTTAACTGAATTTTGATTCTCAGTTCTGTTGATTTATAAATT